GTCAAAAGTTAATATTGTAATTGTTGACTATTTGGAGATGAGATGGTTTTGGCCTTCAAACTATTTTTCAAGAGAAAAGATAACTTGATCCAGCTGTGGGATTTGTGGGGGTGGATATTCTTCAACTGTTATTAGCTGTAGCCTCTACCAAAAAGAAAAAAAAGAAAAAAGGATTTCTCTTCAACTATTGTTAAAATGGAGAAGCCTCATTCACATTTAAATTGTAAACTTATACTGGAAAAAATCTATGAGGCTAAAGAAGAAATATGTACTACAGTGAAAGAGTTTACTACAGAATTAAGAGCCAGAATTTCTACCTTAAACTTCAAAACTGACTCTCAGATTACACCTGACTATTCTACAAAACAGATTATACCAGAAGAGGATTTAACTGAGAATAAAGAGAAATTTATCTTGCCTTATAAGCAGTCCACTTATGGCTTTGAGGACCAGGAAAAGCAAAGACTGAGTTTTGAACTTTTGAAGCAACAAGGCTTTATGGATAAAAGAAACAGAGGGCCAATGCAGAGGCCAAGGTGGTTTTCATCGAATCAAATGATATTACAAGCAACAAAAAGAGATTTATCAGCTGGAAGGGAAGCTCTGCTACGGAAACCTGCCTGGCATAAGAGGAAGGCTAGAATAAGATTGAAAAGTGAAATTTAAAATTTCATGTATTGGATTAAAGGCAATCTAGAATTATGGATTGATTTAAGGATTGAGATTATGAGTTAGAAGTAAGAGAAACATGGGCGATTAATGGGAGATATATATTAAATTGACTAAGAATGTATCTTTTGGAATGATAGGTTTATCTATATGAAAATTACTATGTAATGGAAGGAAGAAAATTGAAGAGATGTTTTAGACTTGGATTGAATTAATAATTAATTGAATGTTAATCTAGTAAGATGACTTGTTTGTTTGATAACATGGATGTTATTAGCTATGATAACTAACTGGATGAAATTTGAATTCTGCCCAATGGATTGAAATGATTTAAGGTCTGATATTATTCTGTCAGCTTAAAGAGATTGATTAATTGATGGATTAGATATGTATAGGATAGATAGATATACACATTTAGATATGTATAGGATAGATTAATATTTTTTGCGTAAAAATGAGATATTTTTATATAATGGATTAAAGGTAATCTAGAATAGTAAGAATATATTTTTAGAACAATAGGTTTATTTGTATGAAAATTATTATGTAATGGAATGAAGAAAATTGAAGAGATGTTTTAAATTTGGATTGAATTAATAATTAATTGAGTTAATTTAATAAGATGATGTGTTTGTTTGATGACATGGATGTTATTAGTTATGATAATTAACTGGATGAAATTTGAATTCTGTCTAATGGATTGAAATGATTTAAGGTCTGATATTATTCTGTCAGCTTGAAGAGATTGATTAATTGATGGATTAGATATGTATAGGATAGATCAATATTTTATTTTAAACAGGGGATATTAGTGGAAGAAGAAATAAATAAAATTTATGATAAAATTAAGGAACTAGAACATATTTGGAAGGGATACCTGAATTGATAATGTTTTTATTTAAAGTTAATTGATTACGGTATTGTAAATTTATAAAGCTTTAAATAGGTCCAGGTTGAATAAATTTAAGCTAGAATTTGATTATTTTAAATATACCATGCTATTTGAGGGAAAAAGAGAGGGAATACTTGATGTATTGATTGAACTATGTATATATGTTTTGTTTTTGGATGTTTGATTACCCCAGCACCACAGTGTGTCCTGAGTACTTTGTCTTAAGAATTAAAAAAACCAATAAAATTTGTTCCAAAAAATAATAATATCTGGATAGCAAAAACCCTACCATAAACTTTCTCTGGTACATACCATATTTCTACTGTATTTGCATTTTTTCTTAATTATTGACTGTTAAATAAAACAGCATATTCAAATTTCATGCAAAACTATGATATCTGTTTAAGCAATGCATTAGTCTAGCCATCATACCTGAAAGCTTACTCCCTCTCTAAGAACTATTGTGTCATAAAATTTACTGAAGGAAAATTGAAAACTTGGGACTCTGTATGCTGTCGTTTAGCAAATATAGACATTTGCTAAAAAAAATCTGTTTCAATTTATTTCTAACATTTAAAATATGATGTGCTAAGGCGTAGGTATTTTAATATTATGTAAATTAAAATCATAAATATATTCAGGGAGATGCAAAAAGCCAGATTAAAATACTGCAAGTATAATTTTAGGAAATATTTTTTGAAAGTTACCTCCTGTTGTATTAATTGATCTTATTTTTCCCAAATGTAATGATCATAAAATAGATAAACAATGTAAAACTTGGGCTAAAATTAAATTCTCTTTATGGTCCCCCCAAAATTTACTGTGATGGAGTGTGACAATTACTCTAGGAGACAGAACTTCAGGTTAGACAGTGGTCAGACAAAAGATATCTCAGCCAATAGAAAAAATAGGTCACAAAAGGCATAGTTCCAGATTTGCAAAGAATGGGGTCATGGAATATTTACAATAAATGTAATGATTTTGCTTTCTTCTTTTCAATTACTTTGAAGGACTGATGCCAATCTTGCAAGTCTAAAAGATCTTCCCTTGCCTTGCCTTAAGTTTCCAGAGAACAAAGGAGAGTAACTTCTGGAGCATTTTCCATACATCCCTTCCTTCTGTTGACTGAGATATCTGTTGCCTGACCATTGTCTAGACTGCATTTCTTCTTTCTTCTTTTTTCTTTCTGCCTCCCAAGGTTATTCTTATAGTCCTTTACACTTATATCTAAATCAGAGTATAATTACAGAAGAGAACAACAAAATAAAAATTACAATGATAATTTTTTACTCAAAGTATTGGCAAATGACACATACAGAAACAAAAACATGTAACATCTCTACAAATAATATAATAAAAATTGATTAACAGATAACACGGGCAGTAATTAAGTTCTTTGCTTTAATTCTATGAAGGTTAGGATAAATTAGCAGAGCCCACCAATCCCACTGAACTAATTAATACAATGCAAAGGACCCTTATGGGCTTGCATCATCCTTATCATTTGCATGACCAATAAAAGCAGTGTTGCAATCTTGTAGTAGATATACCTCCCTCACATCCTGATAAGCCATGGAGTTTTACTACCATAGGGCAGCCAACTCAAGAGGTATTAGTATTTTTTTTCAGATGTCAAGATAGAAGGATCTGAAGATGTCTGCTAGATACCCCAAATTACAGGTTCAAGTAGTTTTGTACAAGTTGCATTTCAGATTAATCCGGATAAAAATGTATATGATTGCAAATTACTGGTGCATCAATTTAAAATTTCAGGTTACGAAGTTTAACATTCCTAGATTTAAGTATTGGTAGATGTCAACAGAATTTTTGTCCATCTGCCTTTGCTATCCCATTTTTTTCCTGTTTTTAACTTTCAAGAATTTATTCGTATAAGAAAATGCTATGGAATGTATATAATTAAAAGAAGAGTTATAGCACTTCCATTTTCCCTTGTACCTCCCAAGTCATTTCGATGCATATTTGAAAATATGGGCATGAGGAAGGTAATTTTGGTGAGCACAACTGCAATTTACACTGGTTTTTCTGTTGAACATTGTATTGCATCAATACATAATTCTCCAGATGCAGATTATCAAATCACTGTCTACACTGAACGTCTTGCTGACATATTCAAATAAGGCAACGTACCTTCCATATATCTCAAATAGATAAACAAGAGATTCAGCTGTTCTACTAATTTCCTGCACTGGAAATAATTAACTCTAGTCTGCAAATGCATGTTCAACAGGTTGCAGCTTCCATAATTACATCTCTGTGTGTCTACAAACTGACATTTTAAATCAATATGTTAGTATTGGACAGCAATAGTGATTAAATGACGTAATTATTTACTTTTAAAAGAAATATATATCACAATTACATATAAAAATTGGGTTCATTCTTGTTGGAAGTATTGTGAAATGCCAATGAGATACAATATATGTGCTTTCTGTCTTTGGAGTCTACTTCCTCCATACAGAAAAAAGAGACACTATATTATAATTGCAAAAATTACACTTTTAAAAAACATGTTGAACAAACCTATTATAAAGTCAGGATCATACAATTTTATCAACAATAAAATGAAGTTAAATTCCCTCACTCCTGAATATGAATTAGTATTAGCACCAGTTATTTAGAATATTCGAAGTTAGAATGGTTAATTGCAATTAAGTTTGCCCTAAGATACTTAAAAATATACTGAAAACTGCCAAAATTGAATTGACCAAAAGAAAATTGTTTATCAAGTTGAAAAGAAATGATGAAATCATAAAATGACAAAACATTCAATATCAAACTGTCATTTTTCCCTTGGGAGTTGTTAAATATTATTAATATAGCAACCAAACTTTGATTTCTTTTTTTTTTTTTTAAATTCTTAGGTACTACAATAGATTATACACATTCTGTTCCTTAAAGCTTTATTGTGAGCAAATGAAACATTACAACATACATGAAAAACTAATGATAGCTTTGTAAGTATCCATGCTGTGGTATTAAATCAGAGCACTTCTCAACGTGTATGATAATACTGCTTTTTAGAAAGTTTAGAAAATCAGTGAACTCAATATATATGGATTCTCACAGACTAACTATGATTTTTCAGATAAAAAGTCAGATATTTTCCAGCACTAAGGCAAGTCTTTATATAGTTAATAATAGTCCATAGAGATTAGGGTTTTTGTTTTGTTTTTGAGAATTAAAAGGATTATCTTCCTTCTTTATAAATATATTCACGTTAGATTCTTTTTAAAAAAGATATATTTCATGTTAGTGGAGATTTTTATCTTCATATCTTAATATGAAAACTAGTGGCTCATAGCAATTCATTTAACAACTATACATGTTTAAGCTGGAACTATTACAATTTAAAACATTAAATGTTTTTATTAGATTTTGTTCATTTCTAAAAACTAGGAAACGATTTTTGTACAGCTTTTAACCAGATAGCAAAACTGATGATATACAGCCTGATCATTATTTTTGAAAATGTCTTTATATTAAATACATTTTACATTTGAATCAGCAAAGTTTCATTTCTTTTCATTTGAAGATTTGGAGAGAATAGTATCATTTGATGACGGACTCTTACCCAAATATAATTTATATGTTTGCTATCAGGATGAGTTAAACCTCTTTTTCACGGTTCCCTAAAAATAGATCACTTCCCCCATAGGGAAGCATACTACGAACCTGCATTTTGACTTCCCAAGGGAAATACAGCTTTTGTTTTACCATCTAATATGGCAAGCATGTGCGATCACATCGTCACATATGCATATACATTACAAAATGTACTGCAGAAATAGGCCTACCGTTTTCCTCATCTGATTTATTGTCATTGTCAGAGTCAGTCAGGGTAAGGGCAGAATTTTCACGGCTTGACAGACCAGAGCTCCGCCTGGATTTAATCCCTCTCCCCCAAAGTCGAATGGCATGCTCAGGAGACATTCCACCCTCTGTATCTGAGTCACCATCAGACCCAGTACTGAGGGAATAGCCTTGCTGAAGGATTCCTATATCTGAACAATAACCACTTCGGTGGGGGGAGGGCTCACAAATTCCTAGTTCAGCAAGGGTGAAGTTAGTTCCTAGGAAAATATGAAAGAAAAAAAAAGAGAATTAAAAATTGGAGAGTGTTTTTTTTAAATTTAACTGAAAATTTATTTGAAAAGAAACTAACAGTCCTTCATGCAGAATTCACTATGTATAGAACTAGGCTGCACAGATATCAGTAAGGGTATTTAGACAGTTCAGTAGAAGAAGTAACTTGTATTGAAAAGAAATACCTTGATAAGAAGTGGGGAGAGAAAATGAATATCTACCTTGGATTATGGCTTTTATTATAATATTACTCCCTTTTGTGGAAATGTAAAACATTTTTTCTATGAATTCCTAGAGGGGTGGTCTAAAAAGTTATGTTATCCCCTTAGATACAAACAACAAAAGAAAAAACAGTCTCCCTACATGCTATGTGTACATTAGTACATTAGTAGAGAAAGTATCATAATGAAATGAACTAGATGTTAATAGTAAAATATAACACAGAACTGAGTTTTCTTGAAGTAGATATTAATTTAGCTTATACTATTTAGTATATAAAAATGTCCAAGATCACTGAGCTTACTTGGATTCTAAATATACTTCAAAACAATATATAAATGGTATGATTTTAATTCATGTTATTCAAAGTATATTGGCCAGAATATACTTTGGGCTTTCTTCATATTAGTTTTTGTTACAATACTATATGAGAGTATGAGTGTATTTGCCCCATATGTAGCATGTATAGGCAGATCTATTTTGACTTGACTCCAGTAAAAGGTTTCTGAATCTGTGTCTCTAAAAAAAATTAAAGAGTTAGCTCACATATCATACTATGGCTTTCTTGCCATAGTTATTCTGTAAATCATATTATTACCAAGATTGGCACGGCATGATAAGCTGTCAACTATGATTAACACACTTCAGTGCATGGGGTCGTACAGCATGCTAAACCCAAACTAAACTTCTATATAGTTTAATAAAGCATGAGAATATTGTACATTAATAACTATTTTTGAATTACATATTATTTAGGGGGGTACAGAACAACAGAAAGTACAGTATTCAATTCTTCAGGTAAAGTGGGATTTTCTCTTTTCTTTCAGGAGCATCCTGTCCTGTCACCACAGAACGGTTTCAGAAAAAAATGCATAATTCTAAGAAACAAATTTTATGAACAGATGAAATAGAGATGAATAGCTCAGAAAATCTTACAGTTTTTAATAAAACAGAATGTGTGAAAAAGTGCTACTTAATTTCTTCTGATAAAAGGATGATTTTGCATCCTTTGAAATAGAGTACATATTGCCAACCTAATGGTACCTTTAAAAAGAAACAAGAAACTTGTTTTTAAAGTAGCTGGCCACAATTTATCTCAAAATCTGTTTGTTTATAGTTCTGATTACAGTGGAATTGCCCATCAGTTAGTTAGAACTGAAGAAGCTTCTTGGATGAAAAGCAAAATGTTTTCAAAGAAAAAAAACCCCAAGAAAATCCAGTTGCCCTTTGGAAAAAGCTCCTTCGGGACAATCATGACCTGGATGACTGAGAATATATATAGACAACTAGTTATTTATAGTATTCTCAATGATCTTCTCCATTACTACAGTTCACAAGCATTCATACTATTTCTATCCAGCTTCTTCAAATTTCAAATTTCATTTTCAAAGAGTGGCATGAAGAAAACTTTGTATGAACAATTCTGGTCTTCGTAGGAATAAACACTTCATGGCATCTGAATATCATTTCCAAGTGGCAATTTCTACTGATTGTTTTGACCTCAGATTGCTTTCTTCTGTTTTCACATTGAGTCTTAACTACTAATTTGGTTTTATTCCACAGTTCCTCTGATTCCTCATCAATGAGATTCAGGACTTTGAAATAAAGAATATATTGGATTATATAATGGAACTTTATCTTGACTTGGGCTTTATCTTGACTTGGAACTTGCATTTGGATAGTTCATGAACTGTTCCAAGGTCAGTCTTTGGCCACATCTTTCCTATTCCAAATATATTATTTGTACCAATAATATATTTGACTTCTGTAAACTCTAGATGGTAATATCAATGTAAATAGGGATTGTTGTGATTGTTTGAAGAACCAACAATTTATATTCCCAAGAATGTATAAAAGTTTATATGTCCAGGTTAAGGGATCCCAGGAACTGCAGGCCTGAAGCAGCAAAGAGTTAAAAATCCCCTATATTTAATTTAATATGAATGCACACATACATAAACAACAACTAGTTAGATTGCATAGTTACCTAAGCTTTATTAGATTTGATATGCTATGAATATTAATTGTATGGAAATTCACCAGGATATCCCAAACAGTTGAGAACTTGAAACACATACCAGAGGAAAGCAACTGCAAATCCAAGACAACTGCATGGATATATCTATCAATTTATAGCTGGCTGAACTGAACTTGAAAACTTTTTAATGGACTTTAAACCAAACCTACGAACAACCCTAATCCCAAACACACTTGTACTTTACCACAGGAAAATACAGAAAGAGAAATGGTTTTGGAAAAGCAGTTTTATATATAGTCAAAGATTATTTCTCTTTATTTCATTTTAAAGCTTGGAAACCTTAAGACTAAAAAAAATAAATGTTTGTATAAAAATAAATCAGCGAATTCTTACTAGGAAATTCTAACACAAGACACCTAGAATGAAGAACAAGCTCTCATTGATAGAAAATTCTACAGCAGCAAAAAATACATCAAACAATGGAGACTTTGTGTTATAGCTGTCAATATCACTATTCTAATCAGAAAACTGCTGTGAAGCTGTGGGCATACAGAAGAATCCATCCATGAGAGGTTTTCCCTGCCTGCTTTCTTTCTAAAATGGCTTATTTCAGGATGTTATGTTCCTATTCTTTTCTAGTTCTTGGGTAGATTATTGCTTCACTCAAAGTTAATGTCAAGTGTAAGAAATCAGAAGCCAGGATGGTTCAAATGAATATAGGTTTATTGCATGCTAACATGGTCTACAAAAATCTGAACTACTAATTGTCAAAGCAAATTGGCAGTAGATAAGGCTCAATACAATTCAAGGTGGGCTGGACTTAGATCTCTTGTGGGAGCAAAGGCACTCAGCACCGATGCCACACTTGACCCCTCCCTTGGTTCAGTCTGCTCATCTCCTATAGTTAATTTCTGTATAGACAATGTGTACACTTTAAGTTTTGTACAGAAATGAATTGCCAGAAAATTTGCTGATAGTGTGATTTTGGAAGATAAGGAGATAATGAGTGCACAAAGGCTGGAAATTCATTTGTACAAGCAGGGCTTTTTTGTCATAGAACACCCAGAACGGAGTTCCGGCAACTTTTTTGGATGGAACCTTGTAGGGTAAGCAAGACGGGTTGTATGACATGTGTGAATTCCAGCACCTTTTTTTTTTTTTTTTTTTTAACAAAAAAAGCACTGTGTACAAGATATACCAATGTCTTTATTCCAAATGAATGGCTATCAAAAAATAACAACACTGAAAACTAATAAAAGTTTCCCCTTCTCTGCTAACCCAAGATGTGTTGCGCACAGAATATGAAATCACTCAATACTATTTAACTGATCAACAAGTTGTTTTCAATAATCATATTTTGAGTCTGAGTTTGGCATTGGAATACATTTTAATGAAAGAGAATAGTCTTGGAATACATAAACATCATGTCCTTTCTTCTTTAGTTCTCTAATCTGACCAAAACAACATAGTTTTTTTAAAAAAAATTCTGAACATTCTATCCACCAGCTTCCTGATTTTACACTTTGTGGTCACATTTAACATTTTAGTGTAATATTTCACACACAAACACACACAGAGAGAGACACACACAGACAGTTTTTAAAAATATCTCTTATAACTCATATATTTAGAAAGTCATAGAAATAAAACAATAGAATGAAGGTTGTGTTTACATTGTTTTTATTCCATCATATTTTATCTACCTTTGACTTAACTTTTTAAGAATATATATTTGTATAATCTTCTATTTCAATCTAGCAAATATTAGCAGTAATATGGGAGTCATATAAACATACATATTTCCCTTAATGGGATTTTATTCATGCCTTTATAATGAGAATCAAATTTGTTTTAAATACCCACGTTAAATAATCAGTAGGAAAATTAGAAGAATAAATTTTAAAAATTGCAAAAGCAATGTATGAAGTGAGCTTAGCAATAAACAATAAAAGAATGTTGGTAAAAGTGTATTTGAAAAATCAAAATCAAAATCAAAAGAAAGACTATAGGGACAATAAACAGTGATGCTTAAGTGGACATTTCTAATAATAAGAGAATGTGGTGATGCTAAAAGTATATTCACACACAATTGGTAACAAAACAAAACATAAACACTAGCAAATTATGAACATACTAACTTGAATAAGCTGTTTTCCAAATGAAGTAAAATAACTTAATAAGCTGTAGAATTTAACATCCTTTAAATATCCACATGTTTATAATTTAATTAGCATTTTGCTTTTGTGTAAAAATGTAAATGATGTCAAGAACAAACAATGACTTTTCTTGCTATTTTCTATGTGATCATTGGAACTACAATGAAAAGAACACTGAGATAAAGGGCCTACTTTTTCTGCTTTTTTAAAGTTAAAAGTTTGGCAAATGCACATGGCTTCCAGAGATAAAAAGCTAACTATTAAGCAAATTGAAAAATGCATCAGAATAGAAACACAACTATTTGACCCAAACTGCCAGTAATTCTGTTCCAGCGTTGGGTGCAGTATTAAATAATGTGTCTGCAGGGATCAAGCTGGCATGAAATACCCACTTTTAATGCTGTTAATGCTAATTCCACACTAATTTATGTTCTTTCTCTCTATATAATATATTTTAACACTCCATATTGCTTTTAATTATAGTTTCATGAGACTAAGGTCCTTTGATAAACTATATGAAATTTATTATGTAGCTATACATAAGGTTGCATTGATAAGATGGTTGGGCATGAACAATACAAAAAAACCTTCTGTTATAAAAGGTTTAGCTAACCAAGAGTATTAATTTCACGTT